GTCTACAACTCTACCACTCACTCTTAATCCTATGGTTTTTTAAAGTGTGATCACAAACCACAGTCTGATTTGGATGTCCAATACAGTGCAATCCTCCAATCTCTGAGCTTGATTTAGAGATTGCTCTTTTACCATCTCGCAGTTAGGACCAGCTTCAGCGGCAGCTGTATCATTCCGCAGGGACATGTGGTATACCTTTCTTTCCTTCTGTACTCCTTGCTTAGCCCGCCAACTGTGAATTCTGAGACATCATGGGTTGGGTGTGGAAAGCCAGGTTTTTCTATTTTTTGCAGAGACAGGGTCTCCCTTTTTTTTTTTTTTTTTAGTGCCATGGCGTCACACAGCTCACACCTCCAACTCCTGGGCTTAGGCAATTCCCTTGCCTCAGCCTCCCAAGTAGCTGGGATTATATGCACCTGCCACAATGCATAGCTATTGGGGTCTCCGTCTTGCAAGGCTGGTCTCAAACTCCTGGCTTCAAGTGACCCTTCTACCTCAGTCTCCCAAAGTGCTAGGATTATAGGTATGAGTCATGACACCCAGCCTAAATTCAATTTCTATTAAAGCATGAATTATTCATGGTGACTTTTTTCTTTGACTGTTTTTAAAGTTTAAAAGTGAGTTCTTTATCAGGCTTTTACATGCTAGGTACCACACTGCTTTTGTTTCCTGCTGAGTGTTTATACAATTGCCATGCTTTCTCTTTTCATCTTGCTCATATTTACAGGGCCAGATCTGATGTGAACTTCACTGAATTCTCCTTGGGTTCCTTCCACTGTGTGTGTGCATGTGCCCCTCTCCTCCTAGATATAATCTGAGATATAGCATCCTAGTATACTGCCTGATCTCCTGAAGCCTATGTATTCACAGAAGATAAAAGGTGAGAACTCTGCTGGAGATGTGGCAATTTCCTAATTGATACCCTAAGCACTAGCCTCCTCTGCAAGATTGATGGAAATACCAGAAATTTGTTCACTCATTCTCTTTTCAGTATAGTGTGGGAAACAAACATAAGTACCCTACCAGAAAGCCTTTGCTTCTTTTTGGGGTTTTCCTGGCTGCTAATGTTTATGACATGAAGTTAACACTTCTTCAATATTTTGTCGTTATTCATCTAGGTAGGAGAGGGGAAATCCTGAGATTTGGCTCCATTTTGCTGTCCTTATCTGAAAAATTTTTCTCAGTTGGTGAAACATTTCATACAGAGGAATGTATAAGATTCTACTCATACCTCAGACTGATAGTCTGTTTACCACTACCCATTCATATATCACCCCCTATATCCCAGATGTTATTTACAGTCCTGAATTTCACATTCATCATTATTTTGACTTTGTGAAAGTTGATTATATGCACTGGGTCATTCTTATCATGCCCAATTAAAACAGACAAGGGCCCGGGGGAAAAGCACTCAGGGTGCATCGCACTAGCATTGAAAACTAAATTTTCTCCAAGCCCAGATGCTGTAAACTTAAAGACCAATCTAATTTAGTAACTGCTGTAATGATCTGCTATGACTCTAAGACCAGTTTTACCTTTCACTGTCACTCACCAATCAGAGAGCCTCACAGCTCTCGAATGCTTTGGCAATGAGTTTTATTTCAAAATAATTCATAACATTTCTCTTTCTAAATAAAACTCCCACACTTTCTCTTTAGACATATTGAAGACCATCCAGGTCTGTGTGTATGCTCCAAATAATTTTGTAATTCCCAAATAAAACATTTAATTTCAAGATGCTTTCTACATATTATTTGAACTTTGACAACTTTATTAAAACCCTTTTGAATCCGAAAGCAATACACTCTTCATCTGTTTTTGACCTTTTTTTTTTTTTTTGCAGTTTTTGGCCGGGGCTGGGTCTGAACCCACCACCTCAGACATATGGGACTGGCACCATACTCCTTTGAGCCACAGGTGTGCCTGTTTTGACCTTTTTAAAACTTGTATCTTTCTCTTTTAAATGACGAATGTAACTATAATTCATATTTTCACTACTGTGATATATTTTATTACATGAACTGCTAATACAATGCTTCTATGTATATGATGTAAATTAAATGTACACACCAAATAATGGTGTTGCTGGGTTATTGCTTATAACCATATGTATATTTACTAGCTAGTATTTTTAATTTTCTGTTGTAAAAATCCTTCTTTACTCCCAAGGACATAAACTTTTCATTCTAAAAGTGCCAAAGTTTTATCCTTTAAACTTAAGTCTTTTTTGCGCCCTGTAATTAATAGTTATAATCCACAAGGCTACATTTGTAATAACAAGTTTCCACATACATGTAGGTCTGTTCAAGGCCTGTATTCTGTTCACCAGTTTATTTGTACAAATATTACACTGTCAATATTGATTAACTAGGTAACCCAGATCTACCCAGTAGGTTTTTCTTCAGTCATATCTTGAATAATTCTCTTCTATATAAACTCTAAAAGTCAAATTTCATTTTTGAGAAAAGAATGGAGATTTGATTAGCATTTAATTGATGCTATAGACCAATTCAGAATGATTGAAATTTTTATGGTATTATTTATCTATTCATGATTATGATACATGTTTCCATTTATTTAGGTCCTCTTCAATGTTACTCAAGAAAGTTTTTTTAATGTTTTATTTTCACAGACACATAATAGCTATACATATTTATGTGGTACATCTGATTTTTTAATACCAGCATATAATGTATAATCGTCAAATCTGGGTAACTGGAATACTCATTACCTCAAATATTTATCATTTTCTTGTATTGGAAATATTCCAATCTTCTCCTCTAGCTATTTTGAAATACATAATAAATTACTGTTAAGTATAGTCACCCTGCCATGCTATCAAACACTAGATCTTGCTCCTTCTACCTACCTATATTTTTGTACCCATTAACCAATTCATCTTCTTCCCACTTCACTGCCCTAGTAACCATCATTCTATGCACTACTTCTAAATTGTTTTTTTAGTGAGTAAGAAGGTGTTATTTATCATTCTTTGCCTGACTTATTTTACTTAACATGATGTCTCTCAATTCCATTCATGTTGCTGCAAATAAATAGGATTTTATTCTTTCTGTGTAGCTGAAAAAAGTTTTGAACTTCATTTTTGTTAGATTTACTTACAGGAAATTTATGCTATTTTCCTAACACACAAGGTATCTTTCTATAAAATGATAATGCATTGCCTTTTGTAGGTAGTGTAGAGAAACACTACTAATTTTTAATATCTACATTAATTATTGATTCAAAAAAATATTAGTCAAATCTAACAATTTAATTGTAGACTACCTTAACATATTAGGTAGATAATCATATAGTCTGTCAATAATTACTATGTTCTTTTTTCCTTTTCAAATTTTTATTTTTTTAAGATAGTATCCTGGTCTTTTGCCCAGGCTGGAGTGCAGTGGCCTATTATAGAATACTGAAACCTCAAACTCGTGAGATCAAGTGGTCCTCCCACCTCAGTCTCTCCAATAGTTGGAACTACAAGGTACGAGCCACCACACCCAGCTAATTTTTCTTTTTCTTTTCTTTTTTTTGAGACACAATCTCACTTTGTTCCCCTAGGTAGAATACTGTGACATCACAGCTCACATAAACCTCAAACTCTTGGGTTCAGAGATCCTCTTGCCTCAGCCTCCCAAGTAGCTGGAACTACAGGTGCTGTCACAACACTGAGCTATTTTTAAAGACAGAGTCTTGCTCTTGCTCAGGCTGGTCTCAACTCCTAAGCTCAAGCAATCCACCTACTTTGGCCTCCCAGAGTCCTAGGATTTCAGACAAGAGCCACTCCACCAGGCCTTAGTATTTTTTTTTTTTTTTGGTGACAGTCTCACTATGTCACCCTTGGCAGAGTGTCGTGGCATCACAGCTCACAGCAACCTCAAACTCTTGGGCTCAAGCGATTCTCTTACCTCAGCCTCCCATGTAGCTAGGACTATAGGCACCCGCCACTACACCCAGCTCTTTTTTGGTTGCAGTTGTTATTGTTGTTTTCAGCAGGTCCAGGCCAGGTTCAAACCCCCCAGCTTCAGTGTATATGGCCAGCACCCTACTTACTGAGCTTTGGGCACCAAGCCAATTTTTCTATTTTTTGTAGAGAGAGGATCTCACTTATGCTCAGGCTGGTCTCAAACTCCTGGTCCAAAGTGATCCTTCTACCTCCATCTACCAAAGTGCTAGAATTACAGGCATGAGCCACTGCATCCAGCCTTCCTGTTCAATTCTTTTTATTATTATTAAATCATAGCTGTGTACATTAATGCAATCATGGGGTACAATGTGCTGGTTTTACATACCATTTGAAATATTTTCATCAAACTGGTTAACATAGCCTTCACTACATTTTCTTAGTTATTGTGTTCAGACATTTATACTCTACACTTAGTAAATTTAACATTGTACCCTCCTAAGATGCACTATAAGGTGTGGTCTCACTGTTACCCTCCCTCCACCCATCCTCCCCTCTCTCCTCTTTCCCCTTCTTCTTGGGCTATAGTTGGGTTATAGCTTTCATATGAAAGCTGTAAATTGGTTTCATAGTAGGGCTGAGTACATTGGATACTTTTTCTTCCATTCTTGAGATAACTTTGCTAAGTAGAGTATGTTCCAGCTCCATCCATGTAAACATGAAAGAAGTAAAGTTTCCATCTTTTTTAAGGCTGCATAATATTCTTCCTGTTCAATTCGTAAACCTTTGTTTATTTTGTGTTTCTTGTCTTAACCCTGTTGACTAGGAACTGTAGCACAATGCTGCTTAGAAATGGCAATGTTACTCTTTAAAAATCTAGTAGTGGTTACAACTTCTCAAATAATATCTATTTTAAGTAAGTTCTAAATGGAAAGGACAGTTCTCTGGATAATTACAAAAAACTAAAGGCCACAGACCTGATAAACATATATCTAGAAATAAAAACATTTTAAGCATTAATCAAGTCTTTGGGAAAATCTTTAAGGATACTTTTATTAAAAAACAAAGAAAAGAAGTCCAGAAAACTAACCTTTTTGTAGTAAACCAGGTCCCCTGTCAAGTAGCTGAGGTGGACAAACTCCATATGTAGTGTACCAAATTCAGCCAGGATGCTGCTACCTGCAGACGCCCAGCCCCAGTTCCGGCCTACTCCACTGAATGAAAGAGAAGGTAAAACGAGGCAGGATTAGGGAAAGATCAAGGCAGTTTTTAATGACTGTGTAAATTTTAAATTAATCTCTTAGAAATTATTATACCTAATAACTCATTTATATCTAAATTTTTATTTTATTATTTAAAAATTTGAGTATTACATCCATGTTCTAAAAAACAAAATAATATTAAAAAATTATACAGCAAATTTATTTCATCCATTCTCATCTCCTTTCACCCTACCAGGCCCCAGATAATCATTTTTATTAGTTTCCTATGCATTAGTACAGAATTTTTATGCACACATAAGCATCACAAATATATATTCTTATTTTCTTCCTTTCTTAAATAAAACATAGCCAACTATACTTACTGCTCTGTGCTTTGAATTTTGCCCTGCAAATCCATGTCAATGGTTCTTCCATACCATTTCATAGTTTTCTCACTTTGTTTTTATTATTTTAAGCTGCAGAGAATTCCATGACATTGATGATTCTCAGCTGGAATGCTGTACCCCAGAGACAGACGAAAATGCACGAGAGCATTTTTAGTTGTCTCAAACCTTGAATGTACACCCTGCATTTACTATGCTAGGAACAAAGATGTAAACTGCCCTGTAATGATCAGGAAAGTAGCATATGATAAAGAACTGTTTTGCCCAAATGCTGATTCTGCCTGAGTGAAAACTACTGCTATATATAAACTGGCAAGATTTATTTAATCAATTCCCAATGGTCAGTTCCTTGGGATATTTCCAATATTTTGTCATCTTGAAAATTTTTAAAGTAAATAATATGTGCACAGTTCATTTGTGTGTCTATAATTTCTAGGACATGCTCCTGCTTTTTTAGAAAACTTTTAGCCTGCATTATAATTTTTTATTTAAAGCCATACTATACAAATAAAAACTGTGAGGCTTTAGCTGATGTTAACTTCTAAAAAGGCAAAGTTTTTTTCCTGAACACAGGGTGAGTATAAGTAATTATCTCGAATTTAGGTGTTGTTAAGAATAGTCAATCTTAGTTTTACACCCCTGCTTCTAGAAGTGGCTCTCTGTCATTTCCATTGCAAGCCGAGGATGTTTACCAAGAGCCCCCTTCTTTGGCAGTCTTAAATACTAACCTCTGTCTCCTCTGTACTATGTGGATATTAAATTTTCCCATTAGCCCTTCAGGTTCCTTCTGCAATTTTCTGCTGGGTTTGAGTCTTGTCCCATGCATTTGCAATTACAGAATGACTAGACAGAAACTTGTACAAAAAAATATGGGGCTTTTCTTCTGCAATTCCTTCTTGGCTCAGATTTTGTCCCTATGTCTCAGTTATTTTAGCAGTTCCAAAACCTAACAACTGTCTGTCTCCCCTGTCCTAAGTGACTATCACTTTAGGTATGGTTTGCAGGTATTGCCCCGCTCCATGATTTGGAACGTGATCTCAGGGAAAAAGCCAATGTTTATGTGGAGATGACCTTCTTTTAAGACAATAGCACCTCCAGTCCTATCTATCTGAGTTAGCTGCTTTCCAATGCCTTCAAACCATTTTGCTTCATATATTTTGTCTAGATTTTATGGTTGATTTTGGTAGGAGGGTTTCATGGTTGGAACTGAATTATTCAAGAAGCTGAGTTTATGGATTATTCCTATTAGAACTCTAAACCATTCTCTAGCATCTTTCATTACTATTAGGAGGGAGTAAAAATATAAACCTTTTTCTCATCTTATACTCAATTTTATACTGGCATTTCAATATGCTATATTTTATTTATCTGTATTTAAAAAATATTAAAATAGGTACTAGAATATGTCACTATCTAGCTTGAAGTTCCTTCATTGTTTGGTACCTATTTTTACACTGTCTGAAAATATAAATGGCAAATATCACTAATAGATTTTTTAACAGCTAAAAATGAGAATCAGAGAAGGAATATGGATATAGTAGCAATGTAATATAGCCATTCCTTTCATAAATAAAAAATGCCTACTATGCTGTTAGAGCTAGTCGTGAACCTGATGTAAGATATTCCTGCTCCCATAATAAGGTGATTTTAAATAGTGGTCATTGCTATGAAGAAAATTAAATAGGTAAACAGAATACTAAGTACAAGGGGGAAAAAGTGATTTGGAAGAAAAACTCTTTACATGTTGTATTCAGAGAAAGTGTTTTGGGAATGACACAATTTGAAGTGACCTGAATAAGAAGGAGCCAGTGATAAAAAAAACTGGAAGAAAAGAAAACAGCAAATGCAATGGGAACGAAAGTGGGCTAGTGTGGCTAAAGCCCAGAAAGGCGGGAAGTGAATGGCACAGGATGAGATTAGAGACCCATACTATGTAAGAATCTGTAAGCCCAGAAAGGCGGGAAGTGAATGGCACAGGATGAGATTAGAGACCCATACTATGTAAGAATCTGTAAGCCATGGTAAAATCTTTATATTTCAAATGTGATGGAAAGTCAAGATATAGATGTTAAAATTTACATGTATTTTTGTATATCTTCAATGAGCCTGAACAACTAAAAAACCTGCAATGAATACCAAAAACAAAGGAAAAAAAAGAAAAGATTTCTATCTTAGCTGACAACAGGGAAGAAATGTTTGATAAGCTTTTGATAGTAAATCAACCTAAGTGTTCTACTTATTAACATTGTTTTGATGATGAGTCATCTATATTTTGGTTCATGCTTTTAGTCAGTTGAAAATCTTTCATCAATGTATTCAAAGAATAAAGTAAAGCTCTTTGTGAGCTGCAATTAGATACAAAGCCTAAAAAGAGGCTGATGCTGAAATTCATCTCAACAAAATCAAGGAATGAACTAAATAAATAAAAACACTCAGATAATGTGCAAGTTTAAGTTACACTATCTTTTTTACATGTATTATTTGTTTTAAATAGTAAAAATTCATATAAGCCACATTTTATTTTAAGTAATCTTTAATTAATTTTTAAGTTAACTTCTCTACACACACACACACACACACAACATTGCAGGACTTAAACACGGCAAAGATTTTCAAACTTCTTTCTAATCAAAATCACCAGAGACAGCATCATTTGTTTTATGCCTGTATCAAACACTGAGGGTTATTTTCAGGAAGTAGCATCTGACAATACATTGGGGGTTGGAGAACAACCCCTTTTGTGTATTAGGACTTCCAAGGACACCCATAGCTTTTAGTAGGTTTCCTCATATCAGTCAAAACAGGAATTCAATTACCTAATAAGTAAAATAGCCCTTAAAATTTCAAAATTTTCTAGGGATATTTTGCACACACAAATAGTGACATAATACTCGAGCTCACATTTTGGGGCTGTCTTTCCTAAACAAAATAAAAATTCTATTTGTAAGTTCTTATTTGACTAAAAATGTATTAATTTCACCTAAATTTTTGAAGAATATTTTCAATGGGTATAGAATTCTAGATTGACTTTTCTTATGGCAGTTTTAAGATATAGTCCATTGTTTGCCACCCTGCATTCCTTCAGATAAGAAGTATTTTTTTCTTTCTTCCCCTGAGGGTTAATCTTTTTTCTTTTAGCTACCTTTAAGATTTTTAAATTTTCATTGATCTTCAGACATAATGTTTCCTTGTTTACCTCCTTGGTTTCTTCAAATGTTGGAGCCTTTGGGTTTACAGTTGTTCAATGAATTTGGAAAAATTTTAGACATTATTTCTTCAGAAACAAACATACTTCAAATATATTACAGATTCGGTTACAGACCACAGAAATAAAGCATATATCACAATAAAGCAATTCACACTTATTGTCTAATCTACCAGTACATACAAATGCTTACATTACACTGCAGTCTACTGAGTTTGCAACAACATATGTCTAGAAAAACAATGTATATCCCTTAATTTAAAAAATATGCTATTGCTAAAAAATACTAAGAATCATCTGAGCCTTCAGCAAGCAGTAATCCTGGAGGGTATTGTCTTGATGATATTGGTTACTGACTGATCAGGGTTGTGGTGGCTGCTGAAGGCTCAGGTGGCTCATGCAATTTCTTAAAATGAGACAACAGTGAAATCTGTCACATCAAATGACTCTTCCTCTCATGAAAGATGTCTCTGTACCATGTGACACTGTTTGATAGCATTTTACTTACTGTAGAACTTCTTTTAAAATTGGAGTCCATCCCCTGAAATCCTGCCACTACTATATCAACTAAGTTTGTGTAATAGTCTAAATTCTTGTCATTTCAGCAACGTTCACAGCATCTACACCAGAAGTAGATCACAGCTCAAGAAACCACTATCTTTGCTCAACTATAAGAAGCAACTCCTCATGTGTTCAAATCTGATCAGTAATCATAACATTACAGCAATTCAGTCACATCTTCCAGCTCCATTTCTAATTCCAGTTCTCTTGCTATTGCAACACATCTGTAATTACTTCCTCCACTGAAGTCTTGAACCCCTCAACAACATCCATGAGGGTTGCAATCCACTTCTTCCAAATTCCTGTTACAACTGACACTGTAATCACCTGCCATTAATCCCAAATGTTCTTAATGCCATATAAAATGGTGAATCTTTTCCAAAAGGTTTACAATTTTCATTGCCCAGATCCATTAGAGAAATCACGATCGATGTCATCTGCAGCTACATAGAAGGTATATCTTAAATACTAAGATTTGAAAGTCAAAACAACTCCTCGACCCATAGGCTACAGAATGGAAATTGTGTCAGCAAGCACGAAAACAACATTTATCTCCCCATACATTCCCCTCACTGCTCTTGGGTGACCTGGTTGGTACACTGTCAATGAGCAGTAATATTTTGAAAAAATATTCAAAATATTGTTACTCACACAAAGAGCATTGGCAGGGTACAATCAGTATAATTCTCAAGTGCGCTAGGATTTTCTGAATGGTAAATGAGCAATGGCTTCAACTTAACTTCATCAGTGGCATTAGCCCCTAACAAGAGTCAGGCCATCCCTTGAAGCCATGCACTGACTTCTCCTCTCTAGCTATGAAAGTCTTAGATGACATCTTCTTC